TCTACAGCCACTGGGGAAAACCAGTCAATTGTAGGGAGCGATCAATCTGGCCTATTTTCATGTGTCTCAGAACAGGGTGAATTGTGTTTTGTCACCTTCTGACAATATTTTATGTTTTTGTGTTAACTGCAAAAGGAGACCATGGTGGCTAAAGAGCAGTATCTGCTTGAAGTCTTGTGAATCCCACCTAGGTCTCCAGGTGTGACACATCTTGAATTTCCAAGATCAGTGGGAAACTAATTGCTATTTTCAATTGTGCATGGTTAAGCTTATGCTATACAGTAGATGGATGTTGTTGGGGTGGAAGAGACAAACTCATGCAAGTGTATGAACTTGTTAATCGTATCCCACCTCTGCAGAACAGGTACATTTTGCTAAGAGAAGAAAATGATATATGACTGCAATCTTGTCAAAACTATGTAGTAATAGGAGGGGGAAATGAGGAAAAGTGTAAGCTGAGAGACCATAAAAGTGCATATTGTTTAACAGTTGTACTTTCAGCAGTCTCTGTCAGCACAGAGTTCAGTAACACCAGAATTTCAGCTTTCATCCATAGACCAGTTTTCAGAAACACACTGTAGTCATTCAGTAAATATAAATGCCTCCAGGACATTTCAGCAGTTTTCTCGGATTTCCTGTACAATAATAAATAAGCCAGTAAATATGCATAAATCGAGACCTAATGTTCTTGGAATTCTGATGACAGCCACTCAGGTTTCACTTTCATGATTGCTGATGAATTTGAATGCAGGGTGGTTTTTTTTGTTGTTGTTGTTGTTTTTTGTTTTTTTTTTTCAGAAATACATCTTTTGTGTTATTTCATCTATTTGATTTAAGGAGTATGAAAATGTCATTCTTTTCTCTGGGGTATATACCTGTAAAGTCCTAGGATACTGGGGAAAAAACGGGGTAAAAAGTATATTCCCTGGAAATTTTTTGTGACTTGTAATGTTTTGAACATCAAAAACTTGTATATCATTTTATTTCCTTCAAGGTAGCTTCAAGATCTGTTGCAAATTGTATTGATGATTTTGGTTGGAATAGGACTTGGACTTCCATATTTCTATATGATATTTTATGTAAGTGAGCTTGAATAAGAATTGGGGTGCAAGGCAGATACTAATGGAGCTCTGAAGTCCACATTGTTCAGCTGCCTTTTTAGCAAAGCCTTAATCCAGTCCATATAGTCGCATGGCATCAATTTGTAAAGGCTTCTGAACAGTTTGCAGGTTGCTGTATCAAATTCACCATCTTACAGAGTATGTGGTAAATAGAAGAGAAAATTTGTGAAAGTCATCAGCTTTTATGGCCGGCATGAACACTTCATGACTCATCTCAGCTCTCACTTGTTACTGAAAATGGGGATGAACTAAAAAGGTCTGAAGTCGCACAAGATGCTAATTATTCTTGTGTACTCCAGGATTTGTTTATGCTGGCTCAAGCAGTGCATCCATCCAAGCCAAACGAGTTTCATTTTGCCACTATAGTTCTGAGTGCTGGCAGACAAAGAAAATAGTTTCTTTGTCTTTCTGATTACTTCTGTGTGATGTTGTCGACATTATTTCTGGCTTAAAATCAATTGGAAAGGAAGCATGACCTGAATTGGCTAGGGTTAGCATTCTTTTACTTTGCATAAGCCCTGGTGTTACATCATAGAGAGTATGACTTAATTTTAAACTCAGAAGGCACCTAAGCATGTTTAAGTCCCATTGACTTCAAAGGGTATCAAGATGACTTGCTCAGATTTAAAGTTCATATTTTAAATTACATACAGACGGCCAAGTCAGCATGGCCTCAGAGCCATGTGTTAGTGTATTACTAACACTAAAAAAAAAAAAAAAAAAAAAAAGGCTACAAGTGCCAGAGGGAGTTTAAGGTAAACAGATAAAACACAGGATAGATAAAACTCATGAGCCAATTCTTAATGAAATGTGTGAATGAACTGTAGGGGGCAGATACACTAAAAAGCACACATGCTTCGTGCTTATGAAGAGAAAAAGAAGGTGATTTTGGAGTTCAAAGAATCAGGTTGCACTGTCAGTCAGTTGTTAAAAACGCTCATTCAAGAGGTAAGAGTGAGTTGTCCACAGGAACAGGAACTTCTCAGCAGACTTTGGAATACAGATGGAATACTCTTACAGTTCCTAGTCCTAAGTCCTTACCCTAAGGTAAGGTTAAAAGAAGTCAGATATATTGTCCTAGGAGTCCAGAGTTACTAAAGGAACCAAAGCAATTAGTCCATTTTGAAGAAACTGGAAAACTTGACAAACCAAGGTTAGACACAAAGAATTAAGCGGACAAGGGATCAGTTAGAACAAATGCAAATACTTAGGGTCTGGATTCTGCAACTGAATTAATAACTTCAGAATCTCTTGGGAAGAAATAAACATTTTTAGGATTAAATTGCTATGAACTCTATTAGGTATCTGTTTTAGAAATATATAAATTTAAACATGGGTCAGCAGTGCACCCTTAGGAAGATGAGGTTTACTTGTATACAGTGCTGCATTAGCAACCTAGTAGATCAAGGGAAACAACTATTTGGCAGTTTTGAGGCCAAATACGTCTGGGCTCCATTTCTGGGGTCCTGTGTACAGGAAAGACATAAATTGGTTCAGCAGAGGGCACACAGATGACACTGAAATATGTGGCATATGAGGACTGACTGAAAGCTGTCAGTTTGGAGAAGAGTTATCTAATTGCTGTTTTCGTCTATGTAACGGGCTTACAAGGAAAATGGAACCAGGTTCCAGGTTCTTCTTGGAGGTGCACAGAAAAAAAAAGAAAAGAAACCCAAACATCAATGAAAACAATCTGTAGCAAGGGAAATCCTAGTTAGATGCATGGCAAAATTCTTCACAGAGTAGTCAAACACTGGGCTGGGTTACCCAGACAGGTTGTGATATCTCCATCTTTGGAGATTTTTGACACTTAACTGGAAACACCACTGACTAATCTGATACAAGTTTAAAGTTGGCCCAGTTTCATATTGACCTTGACTAAAGGTCAATTATTCCGTGATTCAATGAGTTATACCTTAGGTTCCACTAATTATATTCACTGAATCACCACTAATAATAAAGAGAGCCTGAGGTGGCTAGTGTATTGCAGATGTCTGCATTTAGTGAAGTAAATCTTAATGTTCAATGTGCTGACAAATGGGAAAACTGCTTTTGTGAAGGGGCCCAAAAGTCCAGGTGGCAGTATAAGTCATAATGTTTGGTTAATAAGTTGAGAATAATCATATGGAAATTTGTGTCCTGAAATTCTTGTTCAGTAACTTTCCACACCTTGAAAAGGAGGTGTGATATTGAGCCGGGAGCCTCAAGTGGTTTTGTTCACCAGCTATAAGTAATGTGGGAAGAACAGTGCAAAAGTGTCAGGTGTGTGAAACACAGCCAGTGGGAACTGCGTGACTGTGAAAGGCCTTTCTCAAATATTGAGATGCCTTTTGACAACCACAGCCTAATTTAGTAGAGCATACTATTAATCTTCTACTACTACATCTTCTTTTAATAATGAAGAATGAGGATAACCTAAACTCCTTTTTTTTTCCAAGCTGTGAAGAGTTTTCTTGCTCTTTTAACCGTAAGGAAGAAGCAAAGTTTAGTGTACCTGCCCAAGCGAAGTTTACTCAGAGATTGACTTAGAAAATAGCCCCATCTCCTGGAGCTCACTTCATAAATATTCATGCATAATACGCAGAGACACAGAAGGACCTGGCCTAAGCAATTGTCATTGCTTGGATCTTCTGGTCTTACTAACATGGGTATATGGGATGTTGAGAAAAGCTTTGCTATTTCTGAGGTTGCATCAGAACAAGGATTCCTCCTGTTGTCTAACAAGGACGAGGATTGTTTCTTGACCTCTTTCCACTTCCTGTAATTAAAAGAAGCCTCCTATCAGGACAGTTTTCCCAATATAATAAAACATAAAATAAAGTCATGGAGAGGAAGAGGTGGAGAGAGTGAAAGAGCGTGTACTTCCAGGAAGAAAACAGTGGGCATGTCTGGCCAGTTGAACATACTTCAGGACCAGACCTACTCTAAGGACAGTGGATGAATCTGTATGCTCAGCTCCATATACTACTGGAGGACATCCTGGGTGCTCAGTGCCATCCTGCAGCCTACTGCATAAGCAAAAACACGTAGTAAAGCTGCCTACAAGTAGTCTGTAGCAGTGAGGCAATACAGAAGGTGGGAGGTGGCATAATCGAGAAACATTTCTTCCCCGTCCTCTTACCTGCCCATCAGCTGCCACTAACAACACTTAGTCAATAATGCTATTTGACTATGACAAGTATTAATGCATTATAAAAGAGAGAAATAGCATCTTCTTTATTACAAATTGCATAAAAGGTGACAGTGGCAGGATGTAGGGGAGGACCTAACTTAGAAAGGAAACTTACCTGTGTTTCTGGACCCTCAGCTGAAATAAATACACAGAAGCATTCTTTGTTTGATTCTCTGTTACTTAGTTTTGGAGAGATGATTTTGTGAGTCCATACACATTGTTCCAAGAATTCTCCAGTAATGATGTAGTCATGATATCTGTGTTATTGAGTTCAACAAATTACTTAAATATTTCTTTGTGATTATCAGTTTGTCTGTTAATGCAAATTAAAAAGTTCATTAAACAGTGATTAAGAGAGTCTCAAAATTTTGGATTGCCTGTAAACTATATTAATACTCAGAAGTTGCTTGTTATATTTTTTTATCGTATCTTAGCATTATGCCATCAAAATAACATAGTTTTGATGAGACATTTTGCAAACAAGTATATTAACTGACTTAAAAGAAGCTGGTTAATCAGCAGACTTATGATTCCCTTGAAAATCTCATAGAAAATATTATCTTTGCCTATTTCTTTAAATAGTCTAAACTTTCTTGAACTATTTATCCAAAGCTTCTACCAAGTCTTACCTATTTACAGGATATATACAGTAGGGTGGTTTGAACCAAACTGAGCTTTCATGTCTGTTATTAATGTTTTTGTTACAGGATGTGTTGGAGTTTGGGATAACATCACTTGTTGGCGTCCTGCAAAGATTGGAGAGACTGTCACTGTCCCTTGCCCAAAAGTATTTAGTTTTTATTCTGGAAAACCAGGTATTTCATTTTAAGGTTTACTCTCATGCTTACTCTCTATGTAAAGTTTGGACATTTGATATTTAACAACTCTTAGTATCTTGTATTACAATAACATTTTCTTTTTCTTATCTAAACTCTTCACAATGTTTTAAACTCTATCTCACTTGGGCATCAGGACAGAAAGGTCATTTCCTTTTTATCATTTGCCATAATTTGTCTTATACACAGCTTTTTTTTCATAGCCACCTGTTTACTGCTTGCTTGTGGAACTAATAGGGTGATTTTTTTAGAGGTGCCTGTTCAATTAAGAGGTCTTTTAAAATCTTGTAATTCTGTAATTTCAGAGAAGGAAGACAGCAAACATCTTGCATGGGTGATTCAATTATGGCCTAATTAAGTATCTCAGCACCTTTATAATTTTCTTATGTTCTACAATATATTGTTTATTTAATTTGTATACAGAACATTGCAACTTCACTTGATTCTTATGACAGGAAATTATCAAAATATCTTTAAATGAGAAATCTAAATCTTTTTATTTATCTAGACTACTGAGATGTATTTTTTTTTTCCTGGGAGGAAATTTAAATTCTTCTACAAAAATATCTGGAGTACTTTATTATTCATAGAATTCTTCCAAGTTACGTGTAGACTTTTTTAATACCATCAATTCTTTATATGATTTCGTAATTTAAACTGGGAATTTAAAAAAGTAGTTGTCATCTTTACAGCTCTTGGAGAACCAGCTCTTAATTTCTTCTGTGATGATCAGAATTATAGTTTAAGCATATCACACAATTCTCTACTGAACATTTAATGACTTCACCTTGAATGACTGTTTGCTATAAAAGCAGTCATATTATCGTATAGTGCTTCTGTATTACATAACAATGTACATATATGAATATCAGGTAGTTATTCAGTGAAGTTTCATATTAAAATGTATGTGTCAAGTAACATCATAGGCTTTAAGTTTGGTTGTTGTCTGAAATATTAATTGCATAGAAAGATGGTACAGAAATACCCAATGCCTTCCATAGAACTTGGCCTAACTGTTTAAGTTAGATGGCCTTAAAATACTTACAGAAGAAAATACTATAGCATATTGCATACATAGTCTTTTTCTTGCAAAAATAGCTTTGACATAGTTTGTGGTTCTGTTAACGTGTTCCTCTGCTCTGCCTGATCAGAGAATCTTCATGTACTTTTAAAATGAAAACTCTTCAGAATGTATAAATAGGTTACATTTTCTTTAAAAAATGTCATGTCTATGCCAAACTGCAGAAGTGGTTCTGTAGTTTGAGAAGATACTGTGGGTTGAGGTCAAGGTCTAGTTACAAGCTAGAGAGATGTTGTAGTTTGTTGGTCAACCCTTTGGTAGGATATTTACAACTTTCAGCTGAAGACTTTATACAAAGAAGAAATTCCAGTAACCAATGAGCAAGATAAAAATCACAAAGGTTTTAGTTTGGAGTGTATATAAACACATTTAGTTATTTTTGGACAAAGCTGATCTGTGACACATAAAATTGTTCCTGGGTGATGGAAAACAGACTTCTCTATATCAGTTAAAGACCAGTAGTAACCTCCAAACCATAGCAATATGTTGTTATAAATTCAAGCATCATAGATATAAATATTCTCTAGGAAAGGTGAAGGGAAGTAGCTCAAGATTTAACATTGTAAGGATGTTATAATAATTTTAATGACTGTTCTGTACTTTGACATCAGACTCTTCAGTTTTCTATTTAAGCTGTTCCATACTATATACACATTAGCACATATTTGTTAGAGTAAGGAGTAGTATCATGGGATGTCCCAATTTCATTTGAGTGATTTTACAGGGGAAAAGAGTCAACTTCTCAGTTCCAATCAAAAGCTTAGTTTGAAATAAACTGTTCAAAATTACTTTCTAACTATACTTGCACATTTCCTGTACCTTCCATAACTACATTGTTTCAGTGTTTGCTTCAAAGGATGAGATTCAAGATATGTATTTATTTCATTGTTCTTCAACGTATCACCAAATTTGGCATTTAGAATGCATTACCAACTCTACCAAAATTTGCTGTAGCAGTAATTTTTCACCTTAATATTTAAGAACTTTAATAACTCATAAGTTCATTTGTTACTGCCTTCTCAAGAAAGCTTAAATAGGAGTTCAGAACAATTTTCTATCAGATTACCTCATCTACAAATTAGCCCTTCTATAGAGTGAGCTGAAAGCCTTCATTCAGTATACTTTAGACAAAATAAATTTCAGAGTTTTGCAGATGTCATAGAAATAGCTATTATACCAGAGCAGAAGCCTGCAATCACAGCTTGGAATTGCTTTTGTTTTTCTTCAGCGCAAAGGCAACTCAGAATAACATTAAAAGCCAAAGTAAAATTAATGAAGAGTACATGAGAGGAAATGGCTGAGTATGCAGGGGAGCTAGGAAATAGAGCACGTTAGCTCTATTCTGTTATTTACAGAAGATGACAACGTTAGATTGATTAACAGTTGACAATGAGCAGACTTTTGAGTCCTCCTGATTTAAACTCTCGAATTTTGCTTTTCAGGAAATATTAGCAAAAATTGTACGAGTAATGGATGGTCAGATATTTTTCCTGACATCTTCAGTACTTGTGGATATAATGACTATGAGGATGAGTATAAGGTAGGAAAAACATTCTTTCTATTCATTTAGATGCTGGTGTTCAAAAGAAACATAGTCTGCTTCCAAATAATTCACATTTTGCTCTATCAGAATTAATGGAATTCTGTAGATGTTTTTGGTAACATCAGTTGCCATATGCTTGGATTTCAAAGACAAAGACAAAAACAGAAATGTAGAACTCATTGACCGCTTGAAACTCAAGACTATAAACAGGTGTTAATTTCAGTAACACCTGTATCTGTAACACCATGGGTCTGTATTTCTGTTACTGCAGTGTTACTGGGCTTGTGAAGAGTGTATTTTGCATTGTGTTATTTCTAGATATTTCTATTAAAACCCTAATAAAGTAATAATCTGTTGATAATATATGTACCACTTGATCACTTGTGTGAGTTTAAGTTATCAGATTTACGTTGGACTTCAAATTGCGTTAGTGAATAGAAATGGTTCAAAAAGCTATTGAGATATCATAAATACAGCAAAAATGGAAACCTTAATTTGTTCAATTTGTAAAACTATTCCTTGTTTTCTGTTGTTGAGGGTAGTGCTTTTTCCATCTTACCTATCTTCTATCAGTTTGTCTGCTGAGACTAGCAGTGCAAGATTTTGTTTACAGGCATGAGCTCACAGTAGAACTTTTGTTATCATGAACAGATGAAGTCATCTCATGAATACTTTGCTAGTTGTTTTTTTCTGAATTGTAGTATGTGTGAAACAACTCTAGCAGACCTCTTCCAGCTGTTTTGCAGAGGTGTTCTGGTTTCTAGCTAAGATATGCAGTTCTTGTCATCTCTTTCTGTATTTAAAAGCCCTTCCAGCACTATAGTTGAAAACAGGTAATAAAGAAAATAGTTAGAATATGTTGCTTTGCTGTCCTTTCTGTAGACACGTTCCAAAACATCAGTGTCATCTGATAGCAGTTACGTGTTACAAGCAAAAACTGCTGTTTTAAAACACTATAATCATCTGAAACATTGTCATATGGTGGCAAAATTGGTCAAGACATAAAAAAATCAAATTAACAAATGATATTATTTCAAGTGGTGAGATTTACTTAATTAGCAGAAGAAGGAAGTAGTATGAATTGAAAAACAGTTTTTGTTTTACGTATTTGTTGGTAATTTGAAGTAGTAATTTGAAATGCAAGTACTGAAAATTTGAATGAAAATTGAAATGCAAGTCATTTGAAATGACTGTACTTGCAGGAATTAACCTAGAGAAACCGGAAATAGGAAGTAGTAGTGACATTTGAATAAGCCTGATAAAGAGCAAATAATAAACCAACAAGGAAGAAAAAAAGAAGAAATATGGAAAGCAGGTACAGAAAAAAAAAAAAAACATTAGCAACAGCACAATGGAGAGAATATCCTAGACATCTACCATAGATACTATATGACATGAGCACATAGCATGTTGCAGGGATGGAAAGTGGAAAATGCATTTCAAGCAACATGACCTGAGGGTCTTTGTCCTCTTTTTTCACATACCGGTGTCATTGCTCTGAGAATATTCTTTCCTGACTATCATAAGCTGGTTATTTCGGTGAGACATGGCAATAACTCTTTTTCAACCTCAATTTGACAAGTCAAAAGTAAATATTTATATAATGGTGCTGGCTTGCCACAGGGCAGGTTGTTCCTGTGCAAATACTATATTTTAATGCAAATATGCAACTGTCATAGGGCTGTTTGGTTGGTTTTGGTAGCTAAAGAAAGGATGAAATTATCAGAATATAATCTGAAAAGGGAAACAGGAAAGCATATGTTTAAATCCATCTCGTTGTGGGAGGAAATATAATAATGATAGTATCTTTCAGTAGATTTCAGAGATTTCAGGAGGCATTCAAATGCCAACTGTTATACAAAAAGGAGATATTTTCTTCTATTTGAGTCTTAGAGCTCAGTGGTAGCACCTCAAAACAAAATGTTTTTCCTCAACATTAGTCATTTGCATTTGAACTGCATAACAGTTCATTTGCATTTGACCTAGAATTTCAACAAAAAGAGTTAAAAATTAAATCCTAAGTCTTCAGGTACAAAATACTTTGGACACAAAAATTTTACGTGACAATATGCTTTGCAGGCAATGTATGAGGTTACTCTCAGAGTTACAGTAACTAAGGCCATAATATTTTAGGAAAGGTGACAAAATACTTCTCTTATTGTTCTATTTAATTATTGTATTTAATTGTCTTAAATTTTATTTTGTATGCTTTCTCTGAAGAAAATGTTTGGAGAGGAGATAGAAACTCTCTTTGCGGGTTGCTGCCTGTAACTTCACTGCTGAATGAATTTCCATTAGATATCCAATTAAGTATTTATTCTGGTCTTTTACATATTTTAACTATTTATTCTGTATTTTTATGGTCTTTTAGGATACGGACTTATATCTCTAACTTCAAAATATATATGTATATTTCTGTAAATATGTGTGTAAAGTATGTATAGTTCCATACATATTTTATATTTATTTAAATATATGTGCATGTATGCACACACACATGTATATGTATCTCCAGATACACACCTGTTTCAAGCAATTTTGAATATTATGGAAGAGGTTGAGAGAAAGACATTGGCAAACAAATATTGAAGAGGTGATTAATTCATAGGTACTGAATTTTTAGACTGAAAGTGCACTGAAATTAGGAAGTTTAAATAAGATACTGAAAGCAGGTCACCCATTATTTCTCTGCCAAGGTCACCGGTACTGTTCAGGGTATGAAAAATATCACTGTTTCCACAGTTCTCATTGATTTTAGTCAGAGTTAAAGCATTCAATTTTTATTCCATGTCAAATGGTATTTTAGCAGATTCTATAAAAAGAAAATATTTGCATAACATTTTGAAATTAACAATAAGTTGCTGATGCAGAATCCTTAAATAGAATGTTTTATTTGATATTAGATCTTAGTTTAGTAGTCTTCAGTGCTTGTCTGTATTTATAGACTACTTTGGCAAGTGTGACTGAACAATTGTCATCACATAAGATCGTGTATTTAAACCTTTATTATATACTTCCAATCTCGTTCCTATAAGAAAATTAAATGCTGCTAACCTTCAAGATCATGTTTTAGCTTCATCCCAGTCGTTTGAATAAGTATCTTCTTTTTTTCCTTGTGTATTTCTGTTGAGCTCGTGGCTCCACAATGGCAAAATGAGTGAATTGATTTGACCGTGCTAGAAAAATATGTCAAGGTGTGTTAACCCAACCTAAGTCTTGTTGCAACCTTTTTTTTTTTTTCATGTGAACATATTTTGACATCTTTTATCTATGAGTATTAGCTGTCCTCATAGGGTATTAGACTCTCTGCATTACTAAAACAAGGCAAGATGCATGGTGAATGTAAAGGACTGAAATATGTACACTTTATTTAAAGTACTGAGTGGGTCGGTCAATACAGTTTATCTAATTTTAGTCTAAATTGGCCCAAGGTTTATTAAATCACACACCATACAATAAATACAATTCACAGGCTATGTGATTTGAATACTTGGGTCGTATGAAGAGAAAGATCCTCAGTGCTATTACACATGAGGATACTGTTGCTGCTTGAGTATAAGTGGAAGCATTGTTGCTGAAAGAAATATCCTCCTGTTTGGCAAGTTGCCTGAAGCAACCACTCTTAGGCTGCTGTCATAATATCCTAGGTGTGTTCCTCGAGGTACACAACCCAAGACAGGTGGAGTCATGGCAGCGAGGTCAGGTTTGTCTGACTTGGACAAACTCTGTCTTGAATTTCTGTAGCTACCTTTAGAAAAGAGATCAATTACTACTATCCATGAAGTGCATCATTGCCCTAGATCATTTGTCCGAAATCTAAATTGAATGCTTCCCTCTCAAGAAAATGTAATGCAGGTTGCTGTCTATCAATGCTATTTTGTGTGCTTGTGAGTCATGCTATTGTTATTTACATCACATTCTGCATTTTTCATTACTTTTTCATAAGATGCAATTAAGAGATCAGTATACCTTAAAATAAATACAAAATCTTCTTCTACTGGCTCAAAGTGAGAAGGACTGGGCTTGAATATAATCTGATATTCTCTTCTGTGGGAGTACAGTGGAAATTTAATTTATTAATTGCAGATTGCCCACAGACTCTGCAAAATGTCTGTACATACTGAGAATGTTCACATACACAGGTACACATATACTGGTATATATTTACACAGGACAGTAATGAGGTTTTTGTGTTGTTAAAATTGTCATCTCCTTTATGATTGGAACTTTGAATGAGATGAAATTCTTATTAAACAGCTATTAATCTCTATTTTTAATAGGTACTTTAAGCATTGCTGGTCTCTTCTTTTCTTGGATGATATTTAGGCTTAAAGTGAACTGAAAGAGAACCATGTTGAAAAAGGGATATCATTAATTTGTTATATAAAGATGGTTAAATACTGAGGAATACAAATTTTATTAGATATATTTTTAGTAAATTCTGTTCCGTGCCATGTCAACTAAAAATGTGTGCCTAATAATAAGTAAGTAAATTGTACATAACATATCATCAATTTCTTTATTTCAGTATATATTTGCACTCTCATATTATGTGCTACAAGTGTTTAGAAATGGCTACTGTGTTGTTGAAGTTAATTTTACAAAAGGAAGGAACTTTTTTTTTTTTTGGTAATATTTATATTTACATTTGCTTGTTTCAGTATTTCTAATGCACTGAACTAATTTACGAGGCCCAAATAATTTTATATTGATTGTGCAGTTTAAGGTTTTCTGATACATTCTTCCAATATCAATATTTGAATACTGTGGAATGTACTCTGACACCTATATTATAAAAATGTGAGAGCTCATATTTTAATATAATTGCAAAAATCACATTTCTGAATACTAGACTATTACGTACAGTATTACAGGAATACACTGGACCCCAGAATAAACAAAATAGCATAATCTGTGATGATAATGATCATACTTCAGTAGTGATATTTTAGTAGTTGTGTATTTTAGTAGTTACAATTTTTGATGAAATAAATAGG